GGCCCTAAAATCTGGGAATTCATTTACCTGTAAATATAAAAAACACTACCTGTTTATAAATTCAAGTCTCTTCTCAAAGATCATTTACTCAGCAAAACCAAATAAATAATGAATAACTGAACTTATAAATTGTATATCTTAAAGTTTTCACCCATTTATATCACATAAATGTTTAAACCTTAAAACACCCAATCTAACTTTATTATTTTTTAAATACACTACCTAACAGAATACTCCATACGACTGAATGTACAACAATGCATGCAACCATATGACCTGTCTTTGTAATACTCATTTGTGCTTTATAGTTATCTGTTTACAATAATGTATTATCACTGATTTCATCATTGCTTACGTTAATTTGAAGCCAGCCCGTTATGCTATGCATAGTATAAGTGGGCTTTGGCATGCTGCTCTTATCTGTATTTTTTTGTACCTCTGTATGTATGCTCAAATTGTTAATAAATAAATAAATAAATAAAGGTAAATATCTGGGAAGCTGAGCAGCTGTTACAAGTTTGACCTTGAGTGGCGCCGCTTGGCCGCCTGGCAACATCAAACTAATATACCGGCCCCTAAACCGTATCTGTTGTACCAAGCCCTCCGGGTCACTATCTGGAAAAGACCCTGGCTGGGACGGGTTTAGAGCTTCACGCAGTGAATAATATTATAATACTGTCTTTATTTACTACAAGTACATGTACAAAGTATACAGGCCTAGCTGACATCAATGACATACTACTACATGTATATAGAAAGCTGCTTCTTATGTAGAGCATTTCTGGCAAATTAGGTTAGTTTTGTCCCAGGATGCGACCCACACTAATCTACTACCACTCAGGTTACCATTTTACTGATGGGTGAACATAGACAAATGGCGTAAGGGAATCACGTTCCAATGTTTCCCACTTGATGGAATTATGCTGTTAACTCTAACGGCTGCCCTTCAAGGCTGGCGGACATTGCAGACCTGGGAGAGTGGTACAAATAACTTCACGGAACATATAGTACGTTAGGCAGTAAACTACTGGAACCGGTTGAAGGTCCTTGATCGGTATTCCTCGAACGCAGGCGAGAGAGGAACACCAAATCAGTCATTCCTAGAGTGGAACACTCAGTCGATGGCCTCCTCTCCAAAACACTGAGTACAGATACTTATGCCGGAAAAAAAAATTTCCCCCCCCAGTACCAACTATACCACCAGTCGTAAAATTATTCTTTGCAAATATACAGGGTCCTAAAGCCAGCAAACAAACAAAAAATACCTTTCATCCGTGGGACTGACTTGCAGAGGCAAAAGCAATGTTCGTTGGTTTCATGAGACCCACATAAAGGATCACTTGGACAACGGAAATATGGATCCAGTTTACAACACCTATACAGATGTGGACAGAGTGAAACAGGGCAAAAGGGGGGGGGGGGTCGTTGGCTGTACATTGCAGAGTCACTTGTTTGGCACAGAACTGCTAATTGCCTCAAATGATGTAGTGGAAGTTTTAGCAGTAAAGGTCGAGAACCAAAAACTGTCTTGTGGTAGTCTACAAAGCCTCCGTGCAACATCAGCAATTCCAGGAACAGCTGTTAAAAATTGACCACTGTCTGGGAAAATCTTCCAGCTCCTGCACCAAACATCAGCTCTGGGGGGTTTCAACTTAAGGCACCTAAAATGGAGGAAATTAGCAATTAATATTGTTGCAGTTAATATCCAGGAGGCAGCCTCCTCTGATGGAAAACTACACTCACACGAGCTTTTAAATCTCGCACAAAATTCAATTTAACCATCTAAATAATAGAGCCTACTAGCTGAGAATACACATAGACCTAACTATTCACTAACAATGATGATCTGATAAGAAATGTCACCATATCAAAAAACATATACTCAAGATCAAACATAATTGAGGTTCAGATTTGTATGCGCGGGAGCCCAGACCGACAAAATGGAGACTTGTCACGAGGAGCAATTCACCAAATTCACTTCATAACAAAAAACATAAAGTGGGACCAAGGTAACCAAGTCCTACAAACCGAACTACGCTGGGAAGATATTACTAAGCAAACAGACCCAATTATGCCTAGAACAGATTAAACTCGTGGCACTCGATGATGCACAAGGATTATTCCTTCTTAGAAAAAGGAGGAGTAGATGTAAAATAGAGAAAAGGAAAGAGACAGGCGCCCTTTACAGGCGACGGAAAAGAATAACAGAGCGGCTCTAAAAGTGGTCAATATATCTGAAATGCGTAGGAGGACATGGTCAGAGAAATAGCAAGCATCGAAACTTAAGCTAAAAGAATCCTTTAGGAGTCAGGGAATCGCGGGAAGAACTAAAAGCCATAATGAAATCGAAAAGAAACCAAAGTATTTTTCTCCTATGCCAAATCAAAATCGAGAACAAACGTCCAGTATTGGGCCCTACTTAAAACAAAGTGGGTCCTACACAGATGACAGCAAGGATGACGTGAGTACTCAAGTCCCAATATGACTCAGTTTTAGCAAG